GCTATATTATTGTGATGTAAATAAATGGCATTCGTTGCTGGTAAGTTTGTATAGTAACCAGATTATGGCATATAAATATGATTTGTACAGTGTATTATATATAATGCTTTCACAATTTCAGTTTCTAATTGTTGATTGTTTTGATAAACCAACAAGGCAATACGTAACAAGAGGCAGGCTAATGTTTTCTTTCTGAATTCCCTGAGTGTTCTTACATAACATCTCTGCTCTATTGGCCCGTATGTGGCTTACTGAAAATGTAATATTCAGCACTAAGTTATTGCTAGTTGCTGAAAAGTCAGCAACAGTCAGTCAGTGAACCTCAGTGAACCCTCCTGCTGGGTCTTTGTTTATGAGTCTCTCGGTTTCTTTCTTTTGCTTGTGACTAAGAAAGCCAAACAATAAGAGAGAGGACAGAGTATTGCTCTGTGTTCTGATATATACGTATGTGTCATTTAACAGCTTTTTATGCAGGTGTCACATGTGTCAGCCATAGACATCTATCTCATCTTCAGATACTCTGACCTGTACAGTAAACCCATCTTGGCTCAGGTTTAGTGTTGCTGAGCTAAATTATCAAAAGTTTGCGACCTCAAGTAACTCGCAAGTAATTTTGTACACAGTGTCGATAAATTGACTGAAATGAATGCAGTGCTAAAATATCATTTTGCACCAGCATCTACACAGTTATTTAATGCTTCACATATTTCTGATTCACTGCAGTGTGATTGGAAGTTTTTCTGTCCTGGTGGTTTCACTAGTGAGATGGAGGCATCTAAAGGAACAGGTGAGTCAGGCTGTATGTCTCTTTGTGTGCTTTTGGCAGCATATGATTTTGTGTTACTGTATGTTGTGTTTAATTAATGGATTATACATACTTCACATATTTGTTTTACATATTTTCGATAGCTGATAATTGCTGAAGCTCTCCACCTTGTCAGATTAAAGTTTTTCGGTACAAAATGTTGCAGTGACACAAAAGGCAGCAGGAACTATGTTGATTTTTGTTTTCTTATGTATATCACAGTTCTACAGCGAAGCAAGTCCATTTTGTGCATTTGTTTGCAGGTGCACCTCCTGGTGCAGCTCGCCCTGGCAGACCTCCTAGCTGCTCTGATCCTGATGTCCACCAGTGTCATGAACAAATTTCGCACTGACAACAGTGTAGCCATCTGCCAATACAGCCTGCCGTTGTCACTGGTGAGCAACAGTTACTTTCACTCTGTTATTAAAGCCATTAGCTATACAAATGAACCATTTATAAGATTATTTCCTGGTGGGGGAAGGGGTCATATCTGAATTAAACAAGACAGGAAAGTTGAAAGACTTGGGTAAATGTGTCCACCTAGATTTTGGAACTCCTTAGTTGAAGTGCTGAAGACCTGATCACAATCTCAGTGTCTGCTCACACCACTGCAGAATTTTCCTTGAGTCACTTGGGAATGTAACTGAAACGTGGGATGTCATTCCAGCAGCCAAAACATAAGCAGTTTCGCTCTGCCATGTTTGCGTTGTTTTCTCAGACTGAGAAGGTGGTGCTGTATGTTTAATGCACTAATAACAGTTTTTAAGTGTTAAAATGTTTCTATAAATCTATTCCAAACTGAATCAACTTCAATATAAATATATGTTTTCTGAATTTTTATCATATTTTACAGTGATAAGAGTTAGATATTGATGTTACATAAAACAAATAGAAATGAATGTAATAGGAACAAAAGCAGTGGCATTCAGTTTCATTCAGTTCAGGTTTCTTTCAAAATGCAGATATGGAAAATATTTAGACTCTTAAAAGTCCAATATTTAATCAAGGCAAAACTAACTGGGTCAGTTTACATTTCTGAATTGATGGAAATGAAAATAAAGTAACCCCAAGCCTAAAATTTATAATTTCCTCTGCTTTTAAAATGCTTTTATTGTTTTATATGGATGGAGAATCTGTTGGCTATAATATACATTGAAATGGAGCTATTTTGAACCAACAAGTAAACATAATAAATGATCTCTAAGATAACATAAACTACTAAAGGAATATAACATTTGAGTCTACATTTCAAAGTTCAGTTAAACTTGTAGCTCATACTTAATAGTAGAAGAGCTATGACTTCACTAACCCTGCTGTGAACAAGCAGCTATTGTACAATATATATAGAGGAAATAGTGAGATTGAGCCCAAGAAAGCAAATTTATCCTGACTGCTAGGGGTGTTATGATAAAGTGAATTCACAGCATGTTACGCTCTCAATATTGTTAGCATTTCATGTATGCAAACAAATTTGTACTGTTGAGAAGTCATAACTGATCAGATTCAAGTTATCCGGCTTCATGATGCACGTTGCCACATTTTGCATCACTATCTGTTGTGCCACAATATATGTTACACCCCTATTTCATTGTTTCTGTGTTCTGTTCCAGACATTTTATTTTATTTCATTTCTGCTGGTGGTGGTTTATGCATGGAAGTCAAAAAGTGCCATCCAAGGGTGGAGAGCAAGACCCACAGAGGATGAGGGTGGACAGGTGAGGTGTCCACCGCATTTGTAGATTATAATTTGTACAAAAATACTCAGGACTATTTGAATAATTTCTTTCTCCCTATCTGTCCGGTTTACAGAGTCTGTGTAGGAAGAAAATAGTTGCTATACCAGTATATGCTATTGTGTGGTAAGTTTATTAACCGCATCTTTTTAAATAATACATCTTTAATTGCCTTATCCCTGGTGTACACAATTTAATTCTGTATCTCTGTTTGTCTAACATCACAGGTTGGTCCCCATTGCAATGTACTTGGCATATGTGCTCATTCCATTCATAAAAACTACTTTGCTGATTCCAGTCGTTGACAGATCATGGAACGTGATCGCCCGTAATGACAGCAAATACTGCAACAGGTAAGCGCACAGCCTTCATGATTAACTTCCATTAAAGTCACTGCTTTAAAGAAGCTAGAGAGGAGAAATAGGTCTGCCTCCCCTCTGTGTTTTTGTTGACCTCTTGATTGGTGACCTGGTGATTTTTCTTTTTTCTCAGTTGTATTTTGTTCTTGCATGTCTGGAGGGATTCCTGCTCTGATACGGTGAGTGCCTTTAAACTTCCTTTTAAGACATGTATTATATACATTCATTCATTCATTTGCAGTGTTTTATTTTATGGAATTTGTTTTATCATGATTTTACTGTATTTGAGAAATGTGCATTTGTGCTAACATGATTTTTTTTCTTTTCAGGAGATATTCCATGACATTTTCATCAGAGTTTTTCTTTTCCTGGTTGTGATCCCAGTGCTTTGGTCTTGCTCTGTAAGTCATAAGCAATCACATAAGGAATTTGGAGTTATGGTTTATAGTTTTACATTAGAATAAAAGCACACATGTGTAAGCAGACTATAATCATTTCTTTTTTCTTGTTTCAGGTCATTTACTATAAGGTTGGTAAATGGTATGAAAGACATGCGCACGAGGGGCTTTTTCCTGTGGAAGGAGATGGACGTTCAAGAAGGCGATTCAAAAGAGTGTTTTCTACAGCAAGAAATATGGTGATGGTCATCTTATTCTGCTGGACACCAGGTACACACTCACGCACATGCACATTTAAAGCTAATATAATACATGTCATCAGCACGTCAGATTGATGTCTTGTGCATCTTCCTGCTGCAGCTCTTGCACTCATTCTGCTGTCTACCCTGATGATCTGGACAAATGTTGAACAACGCAGCCTATTTTGGTTGTATGTGATACAGGTAAGTTTCAGAAGACCAAGGCCTAATCAAAAAAGAAAATTTGGTGTCTGAGTTGCAAGATTTACTATTGTTTGTGTTTATTTTAGGCTGCGACTCTGTCCCTGCAAGGCTTCCTGAACAGTATGGTTTACGCCTGGAGACGGCCCAACTTCACGGAGGCCGTTCTTGGGGAGAATACACCCCTGATAGCACATGACCGCCTGGCCTTCTTTGATGAATCACTGAAGAGCTCCTTTTGAGCGTTGACTGTAAACGCACTGAGAGACATTGTCA